CAATACCATCTTTCCCTGGAACTTTGTAGATAGGTTAGTAGATTTCAAGGCCAGAAATCATCATCTTCTGACATCTTCAGACAACCTGTATAACACAGGCCATAGAATTAATTCCTGCTTCAAGTCCTAATAGTTGTGGTTGATCTAGAGCACATCTTTTAGGAAAATATTCCGTTTTAATTTAATTTAAAAAATTCAAGTGATGGAGAATCCACAATCCTTGGTAAGTTGTTTCTCTCACTCTTAAAAATGTCTTATTTCTATTCTGAACTTGTCTAGCTTTAGCTTCCAGCTACTGGATTTTGTTGTACTCTTCTCTGCCAAACTGAAGAATCCATATATAATCAATCAAATTACTGTTCCCTGTGTACGTACTTACAGACTATGATCAAATCACTCTTTAGTCTTCTCTTTGGTAAGCTAAATAGATTGAGCTCCTTGAGTATCTAGTTATAAGATATGTTTATTATCCTTTCTCATGTTTCTTCTCTGAACCCTCTCCAGTTTTTCAACATCCTTCTTGAAGTGTGGATACCATAACTGGACACAGCATTTCATTAACAGTTGCACCAGTAGAGAATGTAACCTCTTTACTTCTACTGAATATTTCCATTTATATATCCAAAGATTGCAATAGTTCCTTTAATGTTACACAGAGAGTGCATGTTTAGTTGATTATCCACCATCCCCGCTAAGTCCTTCTTAGAGACTCTGCTTCCTATGATGAAGTTCTGCATCCTATATGTCCTGTATTCTTTGTTGACTTTACATATGACCATGTGTTTGCTTGCAACTCTTACCAAGTAATTCAGATTGCTCTGTTCCCAGTGACTGTCCTCTTCATTATTTACCACTCTCCCAAATCTTTGTATCAGTTGCAAACATTATCAGTAATTATTTTATGACTTTTTCCAGGTCACTAATTTAAAAATATTAAATAATGTAGAGCCAAGAACTGACTTGTGGGGCCCCAAGTCAAATATACCTGCTCAATTATGATTTCCAATTTGCAACTCTATTTTGAGATCTATCAGTCAGGTTTTAGCCATGTTGATTTTTGGATCATTCAAATTTAATCAAAATGTTTTTCAGTACTTAGTACCTTGATAGAAGGTTACAGTACAACATCAACACTGTTATCTTTATCAAGTGAATTAACACCAAAGTTGCTTCTTACTGCATCAACTAAACTTTTAATCTCATCAGAAATTCAGTAGTTGGTATCAAACAGAACCAACAGATGGCTTATCTCAGAACTATTTCACATAGCAGAGGCATCACCATGGGGTTGTTTCACGCTCTGCAACATGCCCACATTCAAATTCAGTGTCACTCATTTTTCCTGAAGAGTTACTTTGACTCTGTGACCCTGCATGCAGATAGGAATGATAAGAGTGGTGAGCGCTGGGAAACCTCTGAAGCTCCTATAGTACTTCCCTTCTCTGTAACTCCATCTCCAACTTTTCTTCTGTCCCTTTTCTTAAAAATAAAAACAGGCTTGTGTGAAGTTGAAGGGTGTGCTCTGTGTTCCTACGTGTCCAGGGGCGGCCCATCCATATAGGCGAACTAGGCGGTTGCGTAGGGTGCCAAGTTAAATGGGGCACCAAATGGTGGTGTAATATCATTGAGGGGTTTGGTGGTGGGGGCGCTGTACCTGTCGGATGAGGCAGAGTGGAACACTAACACGTAATTGGAGGAAGAAGAAACCCCTGAAAGAACCCACTTTGCCTTTCAGTGAACTTGTATGATCCTGTTGTCACAAATGTACAGGATCTCCTGGCTTTTAAACAGTCCCTTGGAGGAACCGGTTAAGGGCAGGTCATGTGGCCTCGAGATGCTGTCTTGAGGCACTAGTACCCACTGGCACATATTTGCAGTAGCCCTAGGCGGCCTTTTCAAAACCAAGTAGGATTTATTAATCAGCTGAAACACAGCTTACCTTGTGCTTAGAGCAATAGAGGTTAAGACCTAGCCCATTCTGGCCACAAGCCATTCTACCCAGCCACGTTGTCATGGAATCCTTTCTGGCTCTTTGTCAGTTGAAAAACAGAGCAGATGGGACTCTTATCCCAGGCAGCTGATGCCATTCTCCATTGTTGTTGACTTGGGGCCTTTGCTCAGCTTCCCTGAGGAGAAGTGGGGGAGAACCACCTTGCTGCTGTTGATGGTCGGTTGCTAGGTATGAACAACTTAGCCACTGGGGTTCATTGTTGTCTTTCCAGCTTTTCCGTTGATATAGATCAGTTTCACTTAGTCCTTTAATGATCCATTCACTCCACTCAGACAGCTATGTGAGCCAGTGGCATATCTAGGACAGGAAAAGTGGGTTGGCCTTGATTTTGGGTGGGCAGGCATTGATGTGGGGGCGGAGGGCGGGGCTACCACCCACTCCAGCTGGCTATTATAACTTAGCAGGTACCAGAAGATGAATCATAGAATACTAGGACTGGAAGAGATCTCGAGAGGTCATTGAGTCCAGTTCCCTGCCTCCATGGGAGGACCAAATACTGTCTAGACCATCCCTGATAGACATTTATCTAACCTACTCTTAAATATCTCCAGAGATGGGGATTCCACAACCTCCCTGGGCAATTTATTCCAGTGTTTGACTATCCTGACAGTTAGGAACTTTTTCTTAATGTCCAACCTAAACCTCCCTTGCTGCAGTTTAAGCCCATTGCTTCTTGTTCTATCCCCAGAGGCCAAAATGAACAAGTTTTCTCCCTCCTCCTTATGACACCCTTTTAGATACCTGAAAACTGCTATCCTGTCCCCCCTCAATCTTGTCTTTTCTAAACTAAACAAACCCAATTCTTTCAGCCTTCCTTCATAGGTCATGTTCTCTAGACCTTTAATCATTCTTGTTGCTCTTCTCTGGACCCTCTCCAATTTCTCCACATCCTTCTTGAAATGCGGTGCCCAGAATCTTCTGGAGGACCACGGGCAATGGGGTGCACCCATAGTGTGGACAGGGTCTCTACCGGGCCTTGAGCTCTGCCTGCCCTCTCAACTCTGGTTCGGTATCTGTCCACCCAACCGGCCACATCCCTCTCTTCCCAGTGCTGCTTGCTGTGATCTCTGGCCCCAGCACAAGCCCCACTTCCCATGAGGCACATGCCCTCATGGGACAACTAATCTCCTTCCAGCTTTTGGATTCAGGGGGCTCCAGCCCCAATTTGTGTGGGCTTGGTTGCTAAATGGGTGGACCATGATCCACCCATAGTTATGTCCCTGATGTGGCTTGACACCATGTGTCTATAGGTGTGCCCTTAGTGCAGATTTAACTCTTCTATGACCACTGGGTAACAGTGCTAAGTACAGAGGGAAACTCAGGCATGCATAGGAATCATTAAAATATTTACAGAAATTCTCCGTCACACTTGTATGCTTCTAGAAGACCTACAAATTGATTTATAAACAGGAAAGCTGAAACAATAGGACTGAATAGGTAGGGTCCTGTATTAGTTAACTTACCACTGCACAAGTCTCACAATCCCTTTGAGGCACCTCCAGGACCTGTATGGATCTGTTTTGACCATCAATGGGTGTAATGTTCTTTGATACAATTATTGCATGTTAAAGGTTTTTTTTTAAATAGATTATTGCAACTGGGAGGCTGACATTCTTCATAAGGCCATGGAATTACTGGCCTTAATTTTTGAGGTACTGACTTTTCTGGAGAGTGTAGGTGTTTGGCACCTATGTAAATTAGGCATTAACCTACACTGAAGTGTCATGTCTAGCCTGTTGCATTGCATCATGTGAAAGTGATGCAATGCAAGATTTGGAAAAATGCCTGATTTCCTGGGTGAAAAAAAATGGCTGACTTCGAGAGTTTCCTGTAAGAAAAACTTCTACAATATCCATTTTTGGCTTTTTTGTTTTTGTTTTTGTTTACAGGATTCTTGTTCTAGACAAAGGAACAATAGCTGAATTCGATACACCTTCAAACCTTATTGCATCAAGGGGTATCTTCTACGGTATGGCTAAAGATGCTGGACTAGCATAGCAAGACTTTTATACCACTGAACGCCTGACTCAACACAGCAGGGATTCATGAATGTACTGTATTTTTTCAGACCAGTCTTTGTAATAGAATAAACTTATGACACATGAATTATTGCACACCCATAATGACAAAATGCATTTTATATTTTTTAAAATATTTTATATATACATATTTTATTAACAGCTTTTATTTTTTCTTAAAAGAATGCCAAATATTCTGCCAAGGAAATGTATGTATCACAAGCCAACATGTATTGTATTCTGGTCTATCATTAGTAAATTAAAACTAATGATGTAAAATACATCTGTGTCTGTATTCTGTACAGAAACACATGAATTTTGAAATGGAAAGACTGACAAAGTTCTGTAATGACTCAGTTAAAAAGGCGGTAATCAAGAAATGTTTCACCTGTGTAACTGGTTCAAAAGTCTTCATTGTAAGTAAAGATCTCCAGGGTGTAAGAGGATTGGACGCTCCTGTTCCGATACTGCAACCTGTTCTAGAGCCCTTGTAGAGCTTCATTATACCAGAACAAATTGCAGAATCAGGGCCTATAATATTTCTGCCTTCCCACACCAAGGTAAGACTATCAAATAGTTATATCTATACAGCTAAACCTACATATGGTACAATCCAACACCTGGTGAAGGCAGTAGGAAACAGTATGTTACAATGGGTTCTGGATAAGGTCTGTAGAGATGGGATTTAGAGGAGGATGTTACTTTTTTGGTACAAAAATTAAAATAAATAAGAAGTCTGTAGTTCAGATTGCTCACATGGCTAAGCATATAAATACTCCTATGAGTATCTCATTCACTATTTTACTTAAGTCAGTTGTAATCATGGATATCTTATACATATTTCCAAAAGTTTGTTTTTTTGTCCCAAAAGATCTCTGAAACGGTAAGAGCTAGAAACACCAAATTTTGAACAGATACTACTGATTTCCTAACTTAAATAACTGGATTGGTTATATCTCAAAATCGGTTCCCCCAGAACCCCAACTGGGCCACTAATTAGCTTTTAGTAGCATCTGATCATAGGCATTTGCTGGACTTTTCTGTTAAGCGTGTCTCACAAACTGCAACTATGAGATCCTTTCCCTATGATAACAGAAAAAGTATTTCCAATAAAATAGGTTGGTAACATAATTATGTAGTTCATTCACCACACCTTTTGTTATCAAGAAATGAGTTAAATGTAAATGCATTTTGGAAGCACATCGTTAGCTATGTTAATTTCTTAAAGTAATATATAAGAGAAGTATTTTCAATACAATATGTATGTTAATGTCGTTGACATAGTTCATTCATCACCCCTTTTACTACAGTTTCCCCGGGCGATGCCGGGGGTGTGTGTGTGTGGGGGGGTGGGGGGCGGATAGATAGGGTCAGGGTCAGGTCAGAGTACTCCAAGGGATATGTTAGCCCTAGATTAAGGAGGCCTCTGTGCCAGCAAGCCAGAGTTCTGAGAGTAAAAGGAGCCTGAGTGAGAGCTGGGAGCTACAAGTCAGGCAGAGTACATTTGGAAGAACAGGATAAGCTGTTCAGGTACCAGAGGGAAAGTACTGGGAGGGATCGTTTGGGGAAGTGGCCCAGGGAAGTAATTGCCAGATGGGGAGTAGAACAAACTGTTCTACTGTTGTCCATCTGCTGCCGCTGCCTTAGGGTCCCTGGGCCAGAACCCGGAGTAGTGGTTGGGTTCCCTCCAACCCTCTCCACACCACTACAGAATCTGTCCCTGGATAGGGAGACCAGGACAATAGAGGGGTTTCACCTCCCCATATTATGGACTAGCTTGTGATGAGTATGGCTCAGTAGGCTATGAACTATGCCTCTAGTAAAGAGAACGTTTTAGTGGGACACCGCAAGCCTCTGAGGCTGAACACTATCTGCTAAAAGCACAAGATCCACAGGCACAGCCAGAGCTTTGCCACAACATTTATATAAAAACCGTTTTTCCAAAGAATATCAAGATGTAACACAACAATTGGATGATGATCGGGCTGAATAGCGATAAAGGGAATGTTTTGGCTGCAGTGATTGTCCTCAGGATCTGAACTGATTTCCATTTTTTCTTGTCTTCCATTTCCTATACCAACCACTGGAAAAAGCAGTTTATGTAGTAAAGTTGCAATTTTTTCTATGAACTAAAGAGAAATTGTGTCCACCAAAATAATAATAATTTATTAACTATAAAAGGAATACAACTTAAATAAGAATCTAGAGGCAAGCAACTCATTTAATATTTAAATAATACTTAAACATGTTAATGTAGCAATGCCCAACGGTAATGAATCCTTAATGGTCATACACAATAATGTTCAAATGATACAGTTATCAGATTAATTAATCTAGTAAAGCTAATATCCTCAGTTATAAATTGCATAAGGTATAAAGTATAAAAATATTCCTTTCAATGCATAGATAGTTACTGGCAACTATGTAATATAATCAATATACCAAATGAATTCAGTGAATCCAATAGCTGATCTTTTCACTGGCAAAGCATAACAGTTTATTCATGAAAAGTACAGTACTTTTACAGATAAACTAGCTTCTGAATGGCTAATCCTCACAATAGGTTTCTTCTCTTAGCCAGTAAGAATGCAGGTCATTGTATGCAGTAATTGTATGGTGAGCAATTGTTCTACTATAGAAGCGTCCATCACAGTGGTTATGTCAACATCAGTACACTGGCATAAGAAATAGATTGTCACTGGATCAGGATGCATCTCATCGCTGCTTTAATATTTATGCCATGAGGACATGAGGAGAAACTTACTTTGCTAGACTGTTCTATGGCTATTATTTGTTTTATAAACCCCAGGCTAATGTGTAGCTAATGTGCTTCAGTCCAATTAACTAAGAGTTAGGAAGTTAGATGAGACTCTTTGGAAATGAAAGGCACTACGAAAAAAATCTTAATAGTGGGGAGTTCAAATCAGCAGTCGGCTATGGTCTCCCTGTTATCTAGAGCTTTAATCTAGTACATACTTCAAGAGCTAGGTTTACAGATGAGATATTTTCCTCTAATGAGAATGATGTTGTAAATTTAAGAGAGGATTTTTAATCTAGTTTAATGAATGGATTACTCCACATGACTTCAATGCGGGGTGAGCAATAATTCTAGATGCGGGGGCCACTTCAAAAATTGTTTTAGTGGCCTGGGGCTGCCCCAGAAGGGATGGGGCCGGTAAACTTCTGTGTTCCCCTGCCCACAGACCCTGATTGGCCAGAACAGCTGGCGGTTCCCTCTAGGCACCTGCTCCCCTGGTGGTGGAAGACTACTTTGCATGCTTTCCTCACCCTCAGGTCAATCAGGGAACGGGTGGGGGGACACAGGAAGTCTCTCACTCCCTGCCCCTGCCCTGCAAGGGGGATGCCATGCTTAGAGTCAACCGCCAGCTGCGGTTTGTGTGCTTCCCTCCCGCCCCCAGGTTCTGACTGGCGCGGGGAGCAGGGGGCATCCACGGACCAGATCAACCCACTTGGCAGGCCAGATCTGGCGCATGGAGGCCTTTTTGGCCAACCCTGCTCTAATGTTTTCCAATGTATTTATTCCAGGATTTAATAAGAGAGAAACATAACATTGAACTTAAGTGTGAAAAGGTGACCATGCCAATAAGAAACATAAAAAGTTGTTTCAAAGAAAAAAAATGCTTCGCAATCTCAAGATTCAAATGTCACCTCAGTTTTTAAAAAGCTACCCATCTGATTGTAAATTTCTTGTGCAAAAAGGAAACTAATATCAAAGATTGGTCTTGTTGATAAAAGGACAAGTTGGAGGAAAATGGAACTATAATATTTGTGCTCCTTTCTCATGTGGAAATCATGCTGATTTGTCCATTGAGTGAAGAAAACTGCCATTTTAAAGATGAATTAGAAAAACTCTTTGATCATACAACAACAAAACAGAAGGAGAGGACGTTTTGTTATCAAACATTTCAATACCATGTGTGAACCAGCAGCCATGAGATTTTAAAAAACCTTAGTTTGGTCAATAATATATTTACAATTTGTGTAACAATTGTAAATTTTTAACTTCAACCTGAGAAATATTTATAAATGTAGTTTGAGAAACCACATCTGATTAGTAACTTAATACTTGAGACAAATTGAGTTTTGTGCTTCTTCCGCAGATTTAAATCCTTCTACTTTCCTCCTAAACAAGGGGCTTGTTCGCTTGTTGCATCGTGCATGTATCTCCCATTAACAACAGTGGGATGTCAGTGTACATTAAACAATTTGGTACAAACACAAAATGGTTTTCTTATTATTTTAGCATAAGTGTTTTAGCTATTTTATAGCTAACAATTATTAGAACAAATTTAAGCCTTTCTCTGACAGCTTCTCACTCTATAGTGTTTCAAATTCGGGATAATTGTGTAAGGAACAGAGTGCTACATGGATATTCTACCATTGCTTTCTTTTCATAAGCACTGTTTTGTATCAGAGCACGTTACTCTGAGATGAGTGATAGGCTGTAACTGTGTGTAACATCAGTTTTAACTCAAAATTAATAAAATAGAATTTGTCAGGATATTAGCCCTTACAGGTTCAATGCTTAAACATTGAATCCATTGCTTTAAAACACAAGATACAAATATTTTGTGTTATGCTGCTTTAAATAGTTAGTAAGTCAGTTTTGATGCTTTCTTGTTGTAACAAGGCCTTTCAGTCAGTGTTGGCACCGAATTTCTCAACTGAAAGTTATTGTCATTGATTATTAGAACCAGCTCCAGTTCTTGGAAATCCTGAAGTCTTGCAACATCTTTGTCCTTAAATAAATTTTAAAATGCAGTACATTAGTAGCATGCACAATAAATATTACACAGGAATTCTGTTTTGCAGATGAAAGGAGGAAAAAGCATAGATGTATTCTAGCGGGGGGCAAGTATTTACTCAACGGTTTGACTGGGTTTTGCTTATCTAACTATAAAGCCGACAACCAGGCCCACTGACAGCAATGCCAGGCCCCAGGGCAGAATAGTCAGTGGGTCCCCCATGTCTTCAGAAGCCATATACAAGCCGTACCTGCACTGGCTGGGGGCCCGGCCAGCAAGCTCTTCTGGCATGGCCAGGGCTCCCACATACCTGTCCAATAAGGTTGCCAACTTCCTAATTGCACAAACCCAAACAAACTTGCCCTTTCCTCTGCCCTGCCCTATGGCCATGCCTGTGTCCTGCCCCTTTTCCAAGGCCTCACCTCCCTCCCCACACTTTACCCTCTTCACTCATTTTCACCAGGCTAGGGCAGAGGGTCGGGATGCAGGAGGAGCTCAGGGGGGTTGAGGTTAAGTGATCGGCACACCCTTCTGGCAGTGGCTCCCGAAAGTGATTTGAAGGCACTTTTGGTGTGTAGCTGCTAGGCAGGGAGACTTGGCAGACTCTGCGTCTGCAGGCACAGCCCCTGCAGCATCCACTGGCTGCAGTGGAGTTGGTGCTCAGGGCAATGGCAGCAAGTGGAGACTTTCTCTCCCCTTTCTCTCCAGGGCCAAAGGGATGTGCCAACTGCTTTCAGGAGTGGTGCGGAGCCAGGGCGGACAGGAAGCCTGCCTTAGCCCCACTGCACTGCTGGTGGCAACTGGGGGCCCTGTGGCCTTTTTACATCTCCCAGCGTCTGGGCATTGTCACCATTGCCTCCATCCACATACACCCCATTGGTGGGCCTATAGACAACTCCTATTGCATGTTGCATTACTTTAGCATTCTATTTACATTCATGTTCATCTGGTTTTTACAACATGGTTATTTTATGTGGAAGAAAGATTCCTAACTGGAGAATCCTGACTTTGCTACTGTGTAACTCTGAAAGTCGCTTAACGGCTCTGTCTCTGTGTTCTGATGTGTTAAAATGGATGCAAAACTGTCCTGACACAGGAGAAGTGTGAGCCTTAGTTAGCTATATGTACACAAATGGGCTGTGAGATCTTCAGACAAGTGCACACTATTAATGATCTCAATTTACCATTTTGTGATCAGTCTGTGTCTTCATTGTTGTGTGATTTGGGTTTGGCTGAATCTTTTTTAGGAGTTAATCCCTTTTGTTTCCAACATGCAGCATCAACTGTAGATGAATGTGCCAAGCAAATGTACCACAGATTAAGGTTACCAAAGCAAGATTTTTACAGGGGGTCCCTGCTGTAAGTCACCCCGGTAGACATCCGTTTCACACGAAAGTCGTTGACGTTTGTAGGAACTGATGCATTATAAACCCGCCCATTCCCCGCTATAAGTCATGAAACACTCCCCCCAATTTGCTTAAATGGAAGTCAGCCATGGGAAAAATATTCCCCATTTACGTTGTTTCACTATAAGTCCAAGGTTTTTGGAACGTATCTTGGATTTATAGTGAGGACCCCCTGTAGTTCAAGGGAGTTCTTCAACATTGATAGTCAATGGAAGTGATTAGTGGAACTGAAGCTTGTATTGTGTGCTTTAAAGATCTACTCAATACTATCTATAAACATCTTGGAACAGGGTATTCGGGGATCTATCACCCCAATAATCTCTTTTCTTTCTCCCTGACCCATCAAAAACTCTCATGTTGGTCCATGCTTCTACTCCAAGAACACTGAAGCCAGCTTCATCGGGTGCAGCACACCAACCAACCCCATTTCTGATCTGGCTGAAGAAAGTCTGAAAGAATAATAGAAGGTACTTGCAAACAGTAAGTAAGGGATCCAGCTTTGATCCTTTGAGCGGCCATACTTTGTCAGTAGACAGCATTAAGTTTTGGGTTTTTTTTGTAATCTTGACAAGCAAGTATCCTACAGTTTTGCTGACAAATCCCTAATAATCAGAGACACTCTCGAAGAGGGCACTTTGAACAATTAGATTTAGTTGTCATATTGTAGACCTTTGCAACTCAAGAAAACAAATCTTTTAAAAGAGAAGAATCAGTGTCATCTTATATTGGGTGCAGGTAAGGTCCATTGGAGTTAATCTAGCACTAATCGGAATTAGCCCCACCATTTGATGCCAATAATATTTGAAGTACTTGATGGTGAAGGAAGGGTCATTAGTGAAGTAGGAAAACAAATTAAAAAGTCCAATTCCATTTTTTATGCAGGCATATCCCACTCCTTCAATGGGACATGAGCCTGTATAAGGACTGCGCAAACTGTCCCTAACTGAAAGCATTTTTCCTGCAATTTAGTTGCTTTTAAAAAGGAATGTTAAATGTTTAATTAGATTGGTAAGGTTCACCTGAGTATCATAAACCTTTCAACCATTCATGACAGTATATCATAGAGTATGTTATTACACTGAATTTCTGAATATAGTAAAAAGCGAAATATAAGACACAGTACAAAATATCAGTGTGGGAAAGCCATCAAGAAGTTAAGGGTTTAGAGCTTATTCTATTAAATAGGAAACACAGTGGTGGCCTAAACAAAATGCTGACATTTAATAACATGTTCCAACATAGAGTTTATAGAGAGGACCTTATTTTAAAAAAAAAATCCGGTATTAATAAAGGTTTAAAGAGTTGCCTGAGGATTTATAGCTAAAATCAGTGCAGCTCTTTTAAAGCACAGAAGATGCCAATAAAACAAGGCAATTCAGTTATAGTTGATGCTCTGACTTTAACCTCCCAATATGAAATAATAATGCTTATCAATACTATATATTGCAAATATTGTGTTATCAGTGAGTGCGTCTGTTTATCATGGATCAAACCCAACTGAGAAATTTCCTGATTGGGGACAATTAACTGTAGGACCCAGGATCTGTGAGACTGGAGTCAAAACAACCCACTAGTTTAGGAAACATGAATTAAATATTGAAAGGCAAGAGGGAAGATTAGAAAATGCTGTAAAGTTGAATCTCCAGACCCCTCTTTTGCTTTGTACCCTGTACCTAGCTTTTGGGTGGCAGAAAATGAGGAAGAAAGGTATCTAAAACACAAAGACTGCTCCATAATGTCTTTTTGCATTATATTAAACAATAAAATAACTGACAGTACAGTTATACAATCTGCCTCCTTGTCCCAGTCCCTTGAATGGTCTTTTATTCTCTATCAAACCTCTGCATCTTTCTTCGGTGTTACTAGCCCAAAATATGCCATAGCTGTGCATGATTGGTTGATGTTACCATCAGATGCACTCTTACCAGTCTTGTATGCAGCCAACTGAGAAGTTTTATCTTTTTTTCTATGGATCCTGAAACATTCAATAACAGCCCACTTATTCCATGACCAAAGGATTATAAGAAAGATCATTACTGGTTACGGATCTACTATATTTGACAGCGAACACCATTAAAAAAACGTTGTTTGCCACTTTGCCATGATGGCAATACTCCAAATTTCCTTTTCAAAGATGCAAGGAATATTGCAGGTTGCTGGAGGGATAAAGCATGCATTTTTAATGATTCCCACAACAGCAATAAAAAAGCATTTGTTTAAAGCTGAAGTTCTTACCTTTCTTAATACTGTATTTGGTAATTTTCTAATCTTCTCTACATGTTCTGGATTAACTCCCAGTTCACAGCAACTCACTCGGAGCAGTTCCTTATAGGTTAGTTCTTGTCTGTCCAGCTCAATTTCAATGAAGTCATTCTCTCTAAGAGTAAGGTTCTGAATTCTCACCTTAAGCACCAGTTCTAGTAAAATATATACATATATTAATATCTAAGTATGCATGATCGTCCAGTTAAGAACAGGAAAAAAATGTGATTTCATTACATCACAATTACTATTAAGTCTCAAAATATTACCCTAAACTCATTTCATTCATTTCATTTATTGTGAATTTAGATGGAAAGAGCTAGATTCTGAGCTCTGGAGATGGAAATCCTACTCAGGACAGGAACAACACAGGCAGTAGCCATGTAAGCTTCCATATAATCTATCAATATCCCACAACCTTGGCCTGAAAAGACAACCTCTAGAGGTGAGGAGGTAGCTTCGCCTCCATATTTCTTCACAAAGAAGCTAAAGGTACCATTTGTAGCTATTTCTATGGAGTCCTATTAGGAACTGGACTGAGATAGTCACGTTTATTTTATATAGGCCAATGTATACCCATAATGAGAATCTATACTTTTATTAGTAATACTGCCTGTATTGATCTAATTGAATTACTGTTGCTTTGCACTAGATTTCAGTTGGCAACCTATTTATCTTTATTACCAATTTTCTGAGCAATTTAATAGTGTGTAACTCAGTGCTCTGTTATCAGGGAAAGCATCTTAAAATTCATATGGATCTTTTCACAGCTCCTATTCAAGTAGAAGTCTGGACCTTTTAACTGCAATTCCAGAACTGATTGGGTGATTTTACTCTATAATGTATCCTAATGAATGATAAATAATACTTCCTCTCTCACACCTGTCTACTTTTACAAAACCTTAGACAAGAAAGAAATGTTTTCATTGATATTTGAATTAAAAATTCCAGTGGATGCAATTTTTTAAACTTTCCCTGTAATGTCCGTGACACAAACATGGAATCATGCCTTATGCATGAGAACATGAAAATGAAAGACTAGAGAAGTACTACAGACATAAATACAGGTAGTCCCCGAGTTACGCGGATCCGACTTATGTCGGATCCGCAGTTACGAACGGGGATTTTCTCGCCCCGGAGGACTCGAGCGGCGGGACACCTGGTCCCGCCGCCCGCCTCCTCTGGGGCGAGAAAAGCTGCTCCCCCTCCCCCCCTTCTGCCCCGGGGGCCAGCAGACCAGGGAGACGGGGAGCAAAGCGGCGCAGGACCCGCGGCCG